ATAAAGAAAATGTTCTTATTCAATTTTGACAAAACACTTTTTCATAAACACCAATATGCACTAGGTTAGTTTTGACAAAAAAAAACTTTTCATAAACACCAACTTGCACTAGGTTAGTTTATTGCTGAGGTTGAGTTAAAAAATGTTAACATTGAGAATTGTGAAGTACATAAACATTAGATATAGACGTTTTCTAAAGATATATCGATAAATATATCTCGAGCATTCAAGCTCGCCCACAGCAACTGAGACGGTATTCTGAAGTGAAACCTACAGGATCCACAACTCGAGTAACAATTATATCTTCGTATCTTTAATTTAGTCATCAAACTTTGTCTACCTCTTCTTGCTAAATTAACGAAAATATTGACCTTGTAGAGGTGACAATGGCAATGGCGGTGGAAGTGGGAGAGCACCTAACTTGCAACGAATAGGTAAAAACCAGTTATATATATCGAACTTTGAATCATTCGTTCACCGAATATCATTTGTATCATCATACGAGAGTGCTCTTCAGCATAAATTCCTTGACTTGAACAGAGCACTTAGTACATGCCTTCATTAGTCTATCCATTGAAGGATTGTTAAAATATTGCAATTTCAATTTCAGGATCTTGCAAAATACTCAGGTGCTATTCAGCTAAAGAAAAATTATTCTTAATTCAGATTAGCATTCAACAAGAACTAAAAAAAGAAAAGAAACGCACTGCCGCAGAAAAGGAAAAAGAAAAAATCATAATTTTGTACTGTCCATCGTCGTGGTCAACTAGAAAAAGAAAAAAAAAAATCCTCCACAGAAGTGCTTCTTCATTGAAATTGTGAGTCTTCTCCCTCAGTGCTTAGCATCTTCTTCTTCACAGAACTTTGAGTACTGGTCAGAGTCCATCAAGGATTTTACCTCATCCGAATTCTCTATCTCCACCTTTATGATCCATCCGTTCTCATATGGGCTTGCATTAACCTATTGAAGATATTGCTTGCTCAGTAAAAAGTGTAAGTGAGAGAAATAAGAGGAAGTAGCAGCATGACTACAGGAAGATCCGTAGAATACTTGGAAAAAAAAAAGGGCTAGGCATCCGGGGTACGACTCTTTGGTTTCTTTTTTTTCTGCTCTACTATTTAGTTCTCTCTTTCAACAAATCATCAAATTACTCGATCATGAACTATGGAAACATCATTTTTCGGTATCAAAACATGGACGAGTTGGTCTCTCTATTTATGTATATTCTGGTATGTATGGCTAAGTCAAAATTTCGGAATTACAGTTTTGGAAAAGAAATTTCAGGTACCATAAACATATAAAAGAAGGGAGAATAACGAGATATTGATACTTTATATTTTCCACTAGCTAGAGCAAGCAGCATTAAGTTAACACCAATGAGTGAACTTGCATGTTAAGAGAACTTTACAAACAGCCCAAGTAGCAATTTCATGTGATGTAGTAGATTATAAATTTGGTTAAAAATATATGAATTTACCTAAACAAACCATCAAGAAAACAACTATATTATCAGCGAGCAAATTGACATGAGCCGCTCATTGAGCAGTATAATCGTACAAGACATCCAAAAAGGTGTGAGTTTTGTTATTTTCTTAAGACGACTCATAACCTCCACGGCCTGCTGAAGTTGCAAAATATCAAACATTTGAAATTTTTGATAAATCCAAATTGTTTTCAAAGAACACAAACTGAAAACGTAGAATTTCTATGCTTACAAATGTGTGTGTGTGTGACATTTTTAGCTGAAGGATAACACAAACAAGAACAAAACACGTCAACGTCTAGATCACATGACACAATCCCACTATAAGGCACCATGACACGGCTGAGGCACTTGAATAGGTTAGCATCTGCCATGTGATAGCATATCAATGGCGGATTAAATTAAGCATATTATTGCACATTGAGGCCCAAGGAAAACGTGCCTTATTATCTACTAGCTTGAGGAGAACAGAAAAATAACATAACATAGAGATTACCAACAAAGAAGGTGCAATCACATTAGACTTTGCAATTGACGGACAATTTATCATGGACTCACCAAACCAGGAGAACTACTAAGCTCTTCATTAACTTCAACCACCTTCCCTGAAATAGGAGAGTTGATGTCACTTGTTGCTTTGACACTCTCGACAGCACCAAAACTTCCACCTTGCGTTACAACAGCTCCCACTTCAGGCAGTTCAACGTACACAACATCACCCAAGTGATCTTGAGCATGATCAGTTATGCCAACCGTTGCAGAACTACCATCAACTTTCACCCATTCATGAGTATCGGCATACTTGAAATCCTTGATAACTGCAATAAGTTCGAGAGGAAATATTTTGGCAAGATGGCATATCGATGGACAAGGTCATAAATCTTGCTTATTTAAACATAAAACCCAATAACAAAACATCAACATCATATTCTTTCTAACGTTTCTTTTAGTGTGAGAATCTTCAAGCTCAAGGTCCATGATAAATCAAACCAGGTCTCTATCGACATCAGCTATGTTGTTTGAAAGATTCTCTATTTGCAGATTTATATGGTGAAGTGTATTAATGTGCAGCGTAAATGAATACTTTATGATGCAAATAATGCAATTACACACAGCCAAAAATATCTACATACTAAATGCTAAACATAAATAATCCAAATATTCTCACCAAGCTAGCTTATTAAGTGGCAATTATATGTCCCCAAATTAAGTGGAAAATTCAACACAGAACAATATCAATTTCATATGTATTCAACTACTTGAGATTCAAAAATTACGACCTTCTCCGTATTTCCAACTACTTGGGATTAATAAAAAATCAGTTCATATGAACCCATTCTGCTTCAATGCATCATTTTACTTGCTTTTATAACCCATCTTATATTTAAGCACACGAAAATTGATCTATAATGATTATAGTTTATAAATATGCAAATTGCAAATATAATATTCCAATCGCAAAAACATCAATGATCGTTCATTGACCCACCCGGTGAAACAATAAGCACAACCCGGTAACCCATGTCATAAAAAAACAGATCTTAATTGAAAAGAAGCCCAGATCAAACACTTTTCGTACAGGAAATACATTAATGAGGTTCATTAAACCGAAAAGTCGTATCAAGAAAATCGTATAACCGAACAGAGAAAGTAATGGAAAAACAGAGTGGGTGTACCAGTGGCAAAGCCTCTATGGAAAAGAGAGATCCTGAGGTATGAAGCAGCCCTTGATGCCCACAATTTTGAGGCCATGCTTTACAGAACAGAACGGAACCAAAACCCACACTTTGCACTCTTTCAAGTTTGATGCAGCGGCGCGCGCAGTAAAAATTGAAAAATTAATTGTTATTATTAACTTTTTATTAGAAGAGTGGACGAATAACGGTTATATTTTTAATTTTAATCCGATTTTGAGCTGTACCAAACAAGCTCTAAGTGAGTGTTTTGAAAATCTTTGGAACAGTATTTGATGGGAAAATGTGGGGGTGAAAAAGTGATGAAAAATTTTAAATTTATGTGTAATATTATTTCATTTGAAAAATGTTTCACTGAAATAAAGAAAGAGAAAAAAAAAAGAACGAGGGTCAAACATGAGCTAATTTTGCTTCTAAAAATATATAGAGCCTTGTGCTTAGCCCCTATTTGGCTCCATTAAATTAAATTAAATTTTTTTTTTACCAATAACACATTTTTCAATATAATAATATTACACATAAATTTTAAGAAATTTCATTCTTTTTCAATCACATATTTTTCAAAATATTATTATTTTTCTCGTTTAAATTTGAAATAATGGAGTCCAAAGAGACTAAAATTACTAATCAATATACATAACGGGCCAGAAATATAAATTTTCATTTTTGGGGAAGAGGGTTGTAGGGTAGAAGTAAAATATAAGTACACAACTCTACAAAATGAGACTTGTATGCCCAATAATTTTGGAAATATTGTGTAAACCCCATATGAATAAAACTGTACACCATGTTTGGTTAAGATTAAAGATTATTTTTAGTTCTTGTTTGGTAAAGCTTTTCTAAAATTTTATCAATTTTTTTAATTCAATTTTAACCGTACATACTAGTTCTTATCCAAAGATATTGCGTGGTAGGAAGGAATAATCTAAACTGTTTCGAACGACTTTCCACTATTCTTACTCGTGTTTCATTTTTTTTTTTTCTCATTTCTTTTTATTATACAAGAAGAAAACAAAATAATCGAGATTTCATATATGCTTGTTAGAACTTCAAGACACCTATGAATTTCCAAAATCAATAATAAAATGTTGCCGTAACACGACTTGAAACTAATAAAGTTTATTTCTACCCCCAAGTGCAAATAAGTAGAAATTTACGGCTGGTAGAAAAGTAAAATAAAATTTCCACAAGTATGGTAGGCATATGCGTGAACCTTGTAAAAGTGGGGTGCCACTAGTCTACATAAAAAATTACAGGGTAGATATGGAAGATCATTGAAATAATGAGTAAATAATTATTAATTATTCAATATAATAAAATAAGGAAGGTGGTGGGTTGATATGTCAACAAACCAATACAATAGAAGTTGGTGAGGCTATGCAATTTTATATTGGAGTATTTTCCTTTTCTAAAGCAACCATTATAAGAATATTTCTCTCTCTCTCTATGGATCGATAAAAAATTAATGAATAAAAATAATTAATTATAATAAAATAATTTAAATTTACATAATTGAGTATAAAATGAAGATCCCATGGGGGATAGGTCTGAAATGAGCATTGAGACTTAACAAGAAAAATTCTTATTGATGGTACAATATCTGCATCATGCAATCAAAGATCCTTGCTGCCCTGCATGAGTATTGCTTCTTGCCTAATATGGTTCCACAAGCCATATCAAGGTGCGTTTCATACAGAATAGTCAAAAATACAATATAACCGATAATATTTCAGTTTTTTGTCTTCTTTAATCCTATTCAGTCCAATGTATTCCAACGTATCAAACATGCCACGAGTGGCATCCTTGGTAGATGGAGTCGGTCTCAAACCTGCAACACTGTCCCCAAATCTCTGTGCATCGTTCTAATTACAGTCGAAACTTGCTCAATCTGATCTTCACTGGAGCAAGAAGAGAGTAGCACTTTGGCAGTTCCTCCATCTGGATAACAACCATTATCAATCATCTCTTCAAAAATTTCTATGCATCTTTTGTACTGTTTCTTTCTAGAGTAGGCTCCAAGTCGAGATGTCCAAGTCACCACATCGGGTTTCAATTTCTTGGCAGGAAGTGAAGTGAATAGCTCTTCCATTTTCTCTAAAAATCCTGCTCGTCCATACATATTGATCAAGATATTATATGTACTTATGTCAGCTTCATATGGTCCACTTTCCACGGCAGTCAAAACTTCTTCCATTTTCTCAAACTGGCCTATTCTACCGTACAAGTTCATCATACTATTAAGGACAAAAGTGTCAGGTCTGAGTCCCAATTCATGCATATGGTTCACAATTTCTTCGCATTTTAGCACGTTTCCAATTCTTGAGTAGGCTGATAAAAGTACCATGTGGGATTTCATAGTTGGTTCTATTCCAAGTCGCTGCATTTCATCAAAGACAGACTGTGCATCTAAAACGCAAATGAAAAAAGTTCTAATCACGATAAGTATAATAATGAAAGGATTAACGAAGTTCAGCACTAATAAAATTTTCATATTCATGTTTGCAGAGAAACAAGTCTGATTCTCACAAAATTTTGGGTCGACTACATGAATCTTTTTCACCACTCTTTATATCTAACATGTACCAAAAGATCCAATAAAATTCATATTATTGCAACCACCTCAGTTCTTGACATTTTTGGTCCCTCACTTTTCTAACCTATCATTCTGGGATCACATGGCTTTTATTATGGGGAGTGTTTTACCACCACAAACGCATGCCACGACCATCTAAATCATCATTCCCTTAATTTATCCTCAAAAGCGTCACTTCCGCTTGAAGAGCACCTAGTGCATGTGATTAGAACTGGTTTGATGAAATGGAGAAGAGTTTCAGAGATTCTATGCAGTTACAAGACAGCTACCAAGTTAAAAGGTAGTATTGAGGAGCAATTATTAGGCTATTTATGCTTTCTGCAGAAATGAGGATGACTTCGCTACTGCGTGGGCATTTTAGAATGAATAAAAATAAGAAGCAATGATATCCCCATTTGAAGTACATGGGAAAAAATGCCACATAATAGCTAAGGCATTAATATGGGAGAAATTGGTTTAGTAAAAGCCATGTTTAAAGGCTGATACACAAGGGTTTGAAGCTAGGAAACATGCAGGTAAATTGTGTAGCATAGAGAGCATTAAAATAACGTCAAATAGAATACCTTAAAGGCTCAAGACTATTTATTATCATTCTTTTACTGAATTAACATAGATACATCCAAGAGTTCAAACATAAATGTATTTGACACGTCTTGTCATGTTTTGAGAATTCAGTATTACAAAAACTATTTTTCGACTAAAGTATAAAGACCACTAATAATTCAGCATTCCTTATGAAAATTATTGTAAATTGGATTCCAAGAGAGGAAAGTTACCTTCATGGAGACCTGCTCTCCCGTAGGCATCCACCATGATGTTATAAGATGCTCTGTCTGGTTCACAACCCATATGCTGCATGAGAGAAAAGATTTCTGCAGCGCCACTTGGAACACCTGCCCGACTGTTAGGTGAAGTAAGTCAAACTTCGGTCATTTTTACCCACCTCAAAGTAAATTTAATTATCCTAATACATCTTCAAGATGCCTATTATAAACCAAGTCTGAAGATGCTTGAAAAAACAACTCAAACAAAAGGATAGTTATCTTGGCATCCTGAAAAGCCTAAATTCAATTATCCTAAAACATCTTCAAGATGCCACATCGCATTCTTTGGTCTGAAAGAATTAGTATTCTTAAGACTCATAGTAACTAAGACATTATAAAGTTAAATATGTTCCAGAATATTTTAATTAATTTGAATTAGTGAAAACATAACTTAGAACGCACACTGAGCATGATAAAGTGACTAGAGAAAATCTATTGAGTCTGAAGCTGCTCTGTCAATTGACCTGTAGGCTTCCATGAGGGCATTATAGGCATACACATCAGGCTCAAGCCCTGCTTCCTGCAGCTGTTCGAAGAATTCTTCAGCTTTTTCACACAGCCCATCTCTTGCAAATGCATTCACAAGAGCAGTGAAAGTACAAATGTTAGGTTTACATTTTTTGTTTCTCATTTCACGGAACACCTCTAAAGCCATATAGGATTTACCATCCTGAAGAAGACACAGGTCAAAGAGAGACAATTAACTTCTAAAGATTTAAAACCATAAAATTAAGAAAAAAGATTATGAGTATTCTGAATCTTGGACAGGATATGGATTTTGTCATCACAATTCAGCAGTATTCAATGGACCAACAGCTTATGCAAATATGGGCTGCAAACTGTTGAAACATCAAAGGATCTTCAGCCTTAAGTTAATGGACCCAAGGAGGTGCAATTTCTAGGACAAATTACTTAGTAGAATGTTTAAATTCTCTTTAACTTAAGTGGTTAAATACTTAAACGATATTTTATAATTTATGATGGAATTACCTGATGACGAGTAAAATATATAAAGTAAAGAAAATGATTAAAATCCATTAAGTTGATCAACTATCAATGAAGGACTAACTTGTATCTAAATCACCTTTCCATATAGGTTGATCACCATTGTGTAAGTATCAGCAGTTGGTTCACACTGCTCTCTCTTCATCCTTTGAAAGATCTCAAGAGCTCTTTGTCCCTTTCTTCCTTTAATTAAGCCATCAATATATGCATTGTATACAACTGTACCTGAAAAGGTTAAATAGATTATGTTTATATTGAATCTTAAAAGCGCTTGGATATAAGGCCAGCTGAAATAAAATGTATAGATCATACTTATGTCATTGATTTAACAACTAGACACCACTCCCTTGACATGACTTGGCAAGGTGCTCCGCCTAAGGTTGGGAAAGGAACTGTACCTTGTTAGTTTGCAAGTATCTTTAGAAATGAGGTCATATCAGTTGCAAGAAATAACTGTTTATAAATTATACAAGCAAATAACTTTAATTGATTAACTGGCTAAATGAGACATAAAAGATGACAATATGAAATATATCACATTTCGCCATTCATATATAACTGGATTATGGAAGCATACTTGGGGGAAGGCCATCCTTCTGCATCTCAGCAAAGACAGCTTCAGCCTGCTCCAGCAATCCGCATCTACAGTAGGCTTTTAAAAGAAGTGCATAAGTATCTTCAGTAGGGATACATCGAGCTTCAAGGAGTTCAAAATAAGTGGATTCTGCTTTTTTGAAGAGTAATTTCTGGCCATAAGCCTCTATAAGAATATTGTAACAAATCACATCTGGCTTGAAGGAGCTTCTGTACAATATCCATTCACACATCTGAAAAGGTGCTTTTCAAGTGTTATTGACTGTGTAACTCATAGGTATTTATTCAACAAAAATTTCCTATCCCTGATGGTGAATCGTGGATATACAAGAGATGTAGTCATGTAGAGAGTATGTTTAGTTCACCTTTTATTTGGTATTAAAGAGCTTTTTTGACTTTGAACATTACTCCTTAAGTGATATCTTCTATGTTTGATGCCTTTGCTCTACGGAATTATTTAAGATTAGCACATACAATATGCATTGAGACTCATCTAAAAGCATTATAAGTCGTTATTTTTGTCTTAGATGGATTCCGCGAAATGCAATAATAGAAAGGCCAAAAAAGGTTGGAAGAGTGTCTGATGAAAGGTTGAGAGGATCTTTGTACAAATTCAGAATGTTTACTTATGTACAGAGACAAAGTCAAGCTAGAGGCAGAATCAACACTTTTTAAAGAAGTGTTAATGCTTTTATGTCAAATCACAAAAATCAGGGGATATGCAGAGAAAGATCATTGTGCTATGCAAATTTGAAAGCTTTCCAATAGCCCGCAGGGACAAGATCCAACAGTTGTTACTTCAAGACCTATTTCAGAAGTTAGTTGTGCAATGTTCATAAAAAATGTTTGAGCCTGAAGGAATTGACACTCAAATACCCATTCATGCCCTATCAGTATCATTCAATAGAAAATAATGAGAAGATAGATAAGAGGAAAATTAAAATTCATGTGAGGTCTATACCAGTATGATTGGACTCCATTGTTTATTGAGACGAAGTTGAACAGCTATACTAATTAGGTCGTCCCAAGTGGTATTAGTGAGAGGAAGATTGTCAAGAGATGACCAAACTCTATTTACATCCACTTCCTTCTGTACAAAGTTTAGAATCTGCTGCGCAATGGGGCTCAGCACAGGGAAAATTCCATCAACAAACCCGGATCCGTATTTCCACCCTTGACCACGCAAAGAACCCCCTGTACCATAATGTCATTTAGGCATTGGAGTGACAGAGAATTAGAAAGCACAGAATATAAATACAACTAGACATTGTGTTACCCTTTTTTCTTGAAACTTTCTTGTGATTAAAGTGTCTAAATCTCCCACGCTTGTCAATGAAAAGGCTGTCGCGCTTCCACTTCTCAATAGGTTCATCACTTGCACCTTTGGCTCTACACTTAAACTCTGTATTAAAACTTCTTCGTTCAACCAATATACAAATTGCAGGAATTTTGACAGACAACCTAAATAATTCATCAGAAAAGGTTGAACTTAACACGTAGTCAATCCCGCCACCGAAGTTCAGCATTGGCCTGATGAAATAATGCAAAGTTTCCTCTTGTTACTGCTTAAAATAAAAATTAAATGAAAATCAATCTATAGCTTTTAACATTTTCTAATATTACAACAAGAGTTAATGTGCAGTCCCATGAATTATTCTTGAACTACAATAAGAAATTTGCACACAGAAACAGTCACTTAGACACTACAGAGTCATCTGGTGATTTCTCCACAAAACCAATTCTTGAAATCAAACTTTTATTCTGAAGAGACAACCAAATTAAACTGTGCTGTTTGAAGAATCATGTGTAACTAAAAACATAAATTCGATCTTAATTATAATATATAAGATAAATAGATAATTTAGAAGGTGTTGAAAATTGAGCTCGCATGCAGAAATTAAGAAAGAAGATGAAACTTACATGAATGCGTATGAAAATTGAGCCACTCAATTTGCCTCTTACTTAACTAGAGTGGATAAGTACATGCAATAGATACATTACCTTAAAATATCTGAAACACATGGAGACAAACACCCACACTCCCATCCACTTCCTCCATCCATCCATTTGGTCTGTCTGGTTCCACTACAGTCGTCTCTGCGCGTCATTTTTTGGGGTGTGAACTAAAGTCGTTACACTGAGTCTCACGAGACTCCGTTGTTGAAACAAAGTCGCACTTCAGCTCCTTCGACCTGAATAGTTATCGACCCGACCCGGTTCAGGTGTTTAATACAAATTGAAATATAGATAATTTTAAATTAGAAAGTAATTTATATACCATACACATGAATAAAAGTTTTAAAGCATATTTTAAGATTAAAAAATAATTATATGAAAATAAGATAATACGATACAAATATATTAGTTTTTTCCTTCTATATTCATCGTCATATTCAATACTCTTAGTCATACTAAAATGAGATAGTAAATTATTATCTTCTTCTCTTTTAAAAATATTTAAATGTTTTAAGTAGGAAAATTTTAGTATTCGAGCATTTATAAAAAGTAGGCAACTGCAATTATGCGTTGAACTAACGAACTTTGAAATGGCTACTGTCTAAAATTTTGAAACATATTTGCTCTTCCTGAAAGGGTTAAGAGCACTATTGTCGTTTTTTCATTTTCTTTTATACTTTTATTAGGTTTAGCATGATTCGATTTGAAATTTTTTTTTTTGGCCAATTTTTAAACAAAATCATTTTTTGAGATTAAAAAATATTCTATCTTGGCGCGGATTGACGAAATACAACTTCTATAAGCTTATTTTGGAAGTCTATAAATAAGTAGTATTCGAATAAGAAGCCTAAAATAAGTGCTATTATCGTTAATTGAGGTATTTAAGGATGTTGTCGTACTACAATCAACTACAAACGCACAAGAAATAAGGGAAATTAAAAAAAAAACAGAGGTTTAAAGATAACTTTTTAAAAATTAGGTCCAAAATGTATTTATTCAAAAATCAGGTAATATATTAATACTCTAACCCTAATTTATCACTCTCAACTCCCTCACCTCTCTCTCTCTCTCTCTCTCTCCCCCCTTCCCTCTCTACATTCTCTCTCTCTCTAAACTAACCCATCGCCTGTCTCCTGTTGTCGCCGCCCGCCGTCATAATCACTCTCAACTCCCTCACCTCTTTCGCCTCCTCTCCCCTCCCCTCTCTCCGTCGTCGGTCGGCGACGTAGCGCCTCAGTGCTGCTGCAATGAAGAGGAGATGACACAGAAGTAGATCCACCGCGCCACCGCGAAGCTAATCCATCGCATCGTCGCACTTTTTCCTTCCTCGTCTTTCCCTCCCATCTCTCTTGCCTCTCGTCTTCTCCTCCCCTCTCTCTATGAATGGTGCGACGCTGTCGTGAATGGAAACGTCGCGATGCTCGACGCTATACCAGCTGATGCAGCGGCATCGTCGCAACACTTGACAAATGATGCAAGGTGGATCTGGAGGTGTGAGTGGGAGTGGTGGTGTGTGGTGTTTTGTGTGGTGGCGGTGGTGGCGGCCGTGAATGTAGTTACGGTGATGTGTGGTGGTGGCAGCGGCTGTGGATGTGATTTTGTAGTGAAAATTGTGATTTTGTTGGTGAGGAGGAGGAGGTGGTGGTGTGTTGCTATTGTTGGTGGTGGTTAGTGGCGGTGGTTGGTGGTGGAAGTGACAGTGTCAGTGGTCCGTGACCAAATATTTAACCGTGACCTACACTCTCAACTCCCTCACCTCTCTCGCCTCCCCTCCCCTCCCCTCTCTCCGTCGTCGGTCGGCGACGTAGCGCCTCGGTGCTGCTGCAATGAAGAGGAGATGACACAGAAGTAGATCCACCGCGAAGCTAATCCATCGCATCGCCGCACTTTTTCCTTCGTCGTCTTTCCCTCCCATCTCTCTTGCCTCTCGTCTTCTCCTCCCCTCTCTCTATGAATGGTGCGACGCTGTCGTGAATGGAAGCGTCGCGATGCTCGACGCTGTGCCAACTGATGCAGCGGCATCGTCGCAACGCTTGACGACTGATGCAAGGTGGATCTGGAGGTGTGAGTGGAGTGGTGGTGTGTGGTGTTTTGTGTGGTGGCAGTGGTGGCGGCCGTAAATGTAGTTACGGTGATGTGTGGTGGTGGCAGCGGCTGTGGATGCGATTTTGTAGTGAAAATTGTGATTTTATTGGTAAGGAGGAGGAGGTGGTGGTGTGTTGTTATTGTTGGTGGTGGTTAGTGGCGGTGGTTGGTGGTGGAAGTGACGGTGTCAGTGGTCTGTGACCAAATATTTAACTGTGACCTAAAAATTTGACAATATGTGACTGAAAAAAATATGTAACCAACAAATTTGAAAATATTTGACCAATAAAATTAATTATGACCAATAAATTTTTGAATTTGTGATCTCGAAATCATATGTAATTAATTAATTTGATAATATGTGACCAATAAATAAACTGTGACTTATAATTATGTATATGCGACCATTAAATATATAATTGTGACTTAATTAATAAATATTTTTAATTAATTACCGAATACCTGAGTTTTGAATTGTTTTACCTAACTTTTGAATTGGTGTAAAGCATACACCTTAATTATGAATTTTTCCCAATAAATAATGGGTTATGGCTTAAGTTTGTGGGCTAAGATAGAGTTATTCTAATATGGGAAAAAAATCATAAATTCAAAAAATAGGTTTATAGTTTGAAAATTCAAAAGATTAGTTTTAGGGAAGAATTCACAAACCAGGGTTTAAGTTTCACCCATTCAAAAATCAGGTATTAAGTTTAAAAAATGCAAAACTCAGGTATTTAGTTAATTAATTAAAAATATTTATTAATTAGGTCACAATTATACAATTAATAGTCACAAATATATAATTATAGGTCACAATTTATTTATTGGTCATATATTATCAAATTAATTGGTCACGGATGATTTCGAGGTAACAAATTCAAAAATTTACAGGTCACAGTTAATTTCATTAATCACATATTTTCAAATTTGTTGGTCACACATTATTTTTCAATCACATATTGTCAAAATTTTTAGGTCACATTTAAAAACTTAGTCGCTGATAACCAAATACTTGGTCAAACACCACTGCTACCAGATCGTACCAAAAGAGAGACACACCACCACCATCATCACCGCCACAGCCATCATCACTCCCTTCGCCACCAACAAACAACCTGCACGACTATCATCGCACCACCACCCATCACCACGACAACCACCACTAAAACACAACCATTTACAAATTGAAAACAACACAACCACCAAATGCCGCTGCTGCCGACGACACCAATCGCCGCTGCCCAACTCATCTAGGGTTTGTTTGATTTGGGCATTCGATCACCGTAAGGTGCTGCGCAGCTGATGCACCTTCGCGATCGCCACCATCTGCAAACTACCATCCCAAAGTCAACTCAACCAGCGCCTACACGACCACCACCTTCGCGACGCCTGCACGCCACCACTACCTTGGGGAATCTCTATTTAAGGTTCGAATAATTTTTGGGGAAAGATCGGCGATAGATCTACAGAGAGAGGGGAGAGGAACGCGAGATAGAGAGAGAGGTGAGGGAGTTGTGAGTTAGTGATAAATTAGGGTTAGAGTTTATATAGTACCTGATTTTTGAATAATAAAATTTGGTCCCTGATTTTTGAATTTCAATATTCAAAGACATGGAACTATGTCATTTCGTCTTCTAATATTTATATGGGCTTAAATCTTGGCCCATCACATATGCTCTGCCCCTCTTAGCCCATAAAGGAAACGTTTCAAAATAGCCCACGAAAGTCTCTCTTCTCTATCAAGATTTTGGGGAAATTTTGGGTCTTCAGTCGAATCAGAGCTCTAGATATTTTTCAGTGTATTCGAATGTTCACCATCAAGTATTATTTTTGTTGAAGTATCTCAATTTTATTCATTCATTGACGGTTTTAACAATGTATTTAATGGTAAAGATGGATTGGACTTGGCGTTTATCAGATTGTGTGCTCTAGAAGGGATCTGCCGCTGTTGAATAAACTGGTGCTGAAGTTTTTTGTTGTTGGTTACTATTTTGTTATTTATTTTATCATGATTTTGCTGGAAAATGTGTTTACTTTATGTCTGTATATAATCATAGATTCTACTTGATTCAATATCCTCAACCTCAAATCGTATCTCATGGTGTCCCTTGTATTTCTTCCCCTAAGGAGAATCCACCACCAACAGATAGCACCCATAACGCTTCTCAATGGTTTTTTCTCCATTCAATTCTGTCACTCTTGCTCCACTCTCACACCCTTGTGCCACGCCCCCGCCATTCCATCTTCAGTTGTTGAAAAGGTCTGTTCTTTGGTCTGTGAATCATACTACAATCGACAGCAGAAAACCATATATTTCAATCCGACACTTATTTTAAATTTGCCTATAAATTCAGAGTTCTTGACACCAGAACAGGCTATAACTGTGGTTGCCTCATTGGCTGATGAGGCTGGTTCTATGGTTGCCTTGAGTTTCTTTTATTGGGCAATTGAGTTCCCGAAATTCAGACACTTTATGAGGTTCTACATAGTTGCGGCCATGTGCTTGATTAAAAATGGGAACTTCGAGAGTACCCATGAAGTATTGCGTTGTATGTTGAGAAATTTTGGGGAGATTGGGATGTTGAAGGAGGCTGTCAACATGGTTCTTGAAATGCAGAGTCAAGGAATGGTTTTGAGTGCTTACACTTTGAACTGTGTGCTGAGCACTGTGAATGAGATGGGATGTCTTGAGATGGCTGAGAATGTGTTTCATGAAATGTGTGACAGGGGTGCGTGTCCTGATGCTTTAAGTTTTAAGTCCATGGTTGTGGCTTACTGTAGATTGGGCAGAGTTTCTGATGCTGATAGGTGGTTGATGGAGATGTTGACTCGAGGCTTTCTTGTGGACAACGCAACATGTAGTTTGATTATCGATGTGTTCTGCAAAAATGGTTGTGAGAACAGAGCATTATGGATCTTTAATAAGATGGTTGATATTGGCTTGACTCCAAATGTGATTAATTATACTTGTTTGATTGACGGGGTGTGCAAGAGGGGAAGTATCAAGCAAGCATTTGAATTTTTGGAGGAGATGGTTAGGAAAGGTTTGAAGCCTAATGTATATACTCATACGGCTTTGATAGATGGTCTTTGTAAGAAGGGATGGAATGATAAGGCCTTCAGGCTTTTCTTGAAACTTGTTAGGAGTGACAGTTACAAACCCAATGTGCAAACTTATACGGCAATGATCACTGGATACTGCAAAGAAAAAAAGTTGAATCGGGCAGAGATGTTGTTGAGCAAAATGCAAGAACAAGGATTGGTTCCTAATAAGAACACCTATGCTATCCTCATTGATGGGTACTGTAAGGTGGGTAATTTTGAAAGGGCATACAGTATGATGGACACAATGAGTACAAATGGTTTAACACCAAATATTTGTACGTATAATGCAATTGTTGATGGTCTCTTTAAGAGAGGAAGGGCCAATGAGGCTTATAAGTTGCTGAAAAGAGGCTGTAGAAATGGACTCTGTGCTGATAAAATTACATATACCATTCTAATATCTGAGAGCTGCAAGCAGGAGGATACTATGCGAGCTTTAGCACTTCTTAATAAGATGGTAAAATCTGGGATCACTCCTGACATGCATACTTATACGACTTTGATTGCAGCACTTTCCAAGCAAAAAAGAATGAGGGAGAGTGAGAAAATTTTTGAGGATGCTTCAAATATTGGCCTGGTTCCGACCACTCAAACTTACACAGCCATGATATGTGGGTATTGTCGAGATAAAAACACAAGCATGGCCATGAAAGTTTTCCGGACCATGGTTGAATGTGGTTGTGCACCTGATAGTTTTACTTACGGTGCTTTGATAAGTGGACTCTGCAGGGAATTCAAGTTGGATGAGGCCAGAAAACTTTACGAAGAAATGATGGACAAAGGACTTGCCCCTTGTGAAGTTACTCGTCTGACAGTAGCTTATGAGTATTGCAAGAAGGATGAATATTCTACAGCCATCATCCTATTAGAAAGATTAGAGAAAAAGCTATGGATTCGCACAGTTTATACCTTAATTAGAAAGCTTTCTTCTGAAAAGAAAGTAGGTATGGCTGCTCTGTTTTTCGATAAATTGTTAGATAAGGATAAGAATGTGGATCGGGTAACTCTTGCAGCATTCATGACTGCGTGTTATGAGAGTAATAACTATGCTCTTATTTCTGATATCTCTGAAAGGACAATGATGAAAACAGGTTAGCTTTTGTTTATTTTTCCATAAAATATTTGTTGGTACTATTTGTTAACCTCTTATCAAAGCATGATTTTCTCTCTTTTACCTATCTATGGTGCTGAGTAGCTAGTTATTCTTTTTCCTGAGTGAGTAAAATTGATTGTTTCCTGTTCTCTCTCCATTGTGGTGATTTTGGCATCATTACATTTTTCGATAGACTCATGGGGGAGCCATGGATTCTATTAAGCTGTTCATTATCGTATTTGTTACAGGGGGACTTGATTGAAGAGTGACGAATTAATTCGTGACCTGCACTTTAGAGCAGTGACTGGTGATTTAGTTTGTGCTTAGAGCAAGAACTGGTGTCCAGCTAAAAGAGAGGTCCTCATAACCCATGGAGATGAAATGGTACTGCACGTTCAATTGGAAACTTCTATGGAAGACCAGGAATCCATTTACACTCAAACTGTGCCAGGTGAATTTACACACGAGGTTGTTCCTTTTTATTGAGTGGTATATATACAGAGTGAGGAGAATAGAGCTTCAATGAGACCCAAATTATGTCTTTCACTGTGTTCTTTGGTTTTAGAACTTTGCAACATTGTATTCTTGCCTGATTGTGAGTGTTAGATATAAGGAAAGTCTACAAGACCTAATAAATTTATGGCCTTGGCCTGACCAGTTGCTTGGCTTCCGATAAGTTCACTGGGTTATCCCAGGTAGAAAGAACGTGCTTTAAGCATAGCATTGTTGAACAAATGTATTCTACATAGACCATTTTTGTGGACTCTTCCTTTCATGCAGCATTGTAGTTTTGTAACTGTTTTGATGAACTAGTTTACAATGGCCTGCACGATGGAACTGCTATTAACTAAGACATCCCTTATCTCCTTATCTTTGTCTACGAGTGTGCACGTATGGATTTAACCCCACAAATAACTAGTGAATTTACGCACATTTTTTTGTGAGATTGTCATATGATTTCTGAATATTAAAATTATTGTTTTCAGATGAAGCATTTATGTGCATCTTGAAGAGAACAAGATCCTCAATCGTCGAGATAGATACACAATCATGGCTATGAAAGTTTTCGAGACAATGGGTGAATATGGCTGTGCACCAGATAGTCTTATGATTCTTGGATAAGTGAACTCTACAGGGAATCCAAGTTGGATGATGCTAGAAGACTTCACAAATGGTGGACAAAGGACTTGTCCCATGTTAAGTTACTCGGCTGACAATATAGCTCGAGTATTTCAAGAAGGATGAATATTCTACGGCCATCATCCTCTTGGCAAGATTAAGTTATGGATTCCCACAGTTCTTACCTTGGTTAGAAAGCTTTTTAGTGAAAAGAAAGGAAAAATGACTGCGCTGTAGGTAAGGATCGGAATGTTGAGCGGCTAACTCTTGCAGCATTCATGACTGCATGTAACCTGTATAACTATGCTCTTATTTCTGCAACTGAATTTTCTTCTTTTTTTTTTGCTAGTAAACTTGTTTGGAGCCAAAACACACTTGGTTTCCTCCTCTAATGAAGTCTTGACCTGAAATTTACCATTTTATAACTGCAAAACTAATATTCAGGTACAATAAATTGGATTCGGGGAGAAGAAATTATGATAGGGAATATATAACTAGAGCATAGACAGGAAAGCTTGGGGCTTGTTTGCTTCTCTATAGATACGCGCGAATGGAATTGGCGCATTAATTTCTACGAGTTTTTCTTTAATTTTAAAACTTGATATTAAAACAGCATATAAACGCAAAAAGGCATTATTTTAGAGAATAAAAAACTATGGGGAGTGAGATTGGAAATTCAAAAGAAAGGTGGTGCTGGGTGTAATTTCCACATTAAATAAATGCCCCAAGACAGTATAGTTAACCATAGATACAACTTACAAGGCAGTGAAGAAGTAAAACTGACGCTATTTACAAAGGATATTCATAAACCACGTTCGAGTAGAATACATACATGGATAATTTGTGACTACAGAGAACCACCACAACACTGACCAATACATGAAGGTTGCCTATTTTTCCACAACCAGTACCACAGTCCAACGATAGTGAAGGTTCTTTAAGCACCTGCTGAGATAGACATGCCCTTTAACTCGACGTGCTTCTTACCCTTGTGTAGGGGCTGAACAGTAATAGTGGCACGGGCCTCTTCCTGCAAGGATTTATCACCTCCAACGCGAGAGACCGATATTGAACCCACCAACGGCTCTTTCTCAGCTACATTGTCTTGTTCTTCATCTTCTTGGTTTTCCCCAATAATTTCCCAATCCTCTTTAACAGAAGTTACTTGTAAGCCACTTCTTGCTTTATGACTTTCTACTTCAAACAAGGTAGGTAGAATTACAAAATCGTTAACTGGATTGTAATAAGGATCATGGTCCGCCATCAGCCAGTGCTTGAGAATTCTGAACACATGACGATCACAAAGAATTCCACGGTGATCCCCAGGGACTCCGACCCTTGCTTCTGCTTGAAGCCCGTCTGCCTGTAAAAGAGGGTCAATAGAGAAAACCAAGTCAATGCTGGTTCAGTTTCAAAATGTCAAATTTGCAAACATATGAATAATTATTGTTTTGAATGAATTTACAACCACGTTTATAATGTTTTTTTTCAAAAAAAAAAAAAGGAAAAAGAAAATGATTTAACATTAATTGTAGTTAGGAAAGAAAGGGAATAATATATGAAATTTAAAGTACTGCCCTGCAGCCATTGAGAAGTGAAGAAGAGAGTGGAGAACATTTAGAAACTCAAATATATATAGTAGCTACAATTTTCCGGGGTCTTCTTTAGAAAATTTTGAAAGCATATCACTCCAGCCAGAGATGATTATATCATTATGTGCTATGCAAAAAGCGTATCGCCTTACCCAAATACACTCCCCGATCTTTAATCAGTTCGGTTAAGATCCTATTCCATCTATTTTGTAACTGCTACTTTTCATTTGAGGATGTCCCAAAAATTTGGTCCATTCTGATCAGTTGAACTGGATTATAGTTTGTATTACAGTTGAAATATTTCCCTAGTGTATATGATTTCTCATTGCACCCACACAAGACAATTTAAAATTATGCAATCATTGTTGTAGTTATAAGAATTGGTATTTGATAAAAGGGGAAAATATGAAAATACCTCAAATGTCCTAAACAGTAAACATAACAAGTGAGTTCTCTAAACCAAAGTAATAAATGTTATTGGTCACAACACTATACATATAGCGAGTTTTCCAAAATAAGCTAAAATTATGGATAGAAGTAGTAACAGCATACAGATAAAATTATACTACGAAAATTTATGCAACAAATTTGAAACAAAGTACCTTAGCAGATTCCATTGGAACAGTTCCATCACCATCAACATTTATGTACTTGGCCTAACGTGCAAAAACAGTAATTTAGAAAAGTTCTTACAACCTAAGTTTCAAATGTAACGAACATATCATACAATACATAAAACAAATACTAAATAGTCAAACAGAAACCCAGACTAAAAAACACGAAGTTCTGAATAAGTGTCTCTGTATATTTATTTTAAGATTCATTTAATAGCTGTACCAGGAGAGCAGGTAACTGTTGCAGGTCAGATACAGGTGCATCCTCACTTCCATAACTGCAAAAGAGTATTAGCATTTCGTATGAGTTCACCAATCAATACGTTTTTGAATGTCATAATATATTTCAGAATTCCAATCAATTTGAGAGCATAAACTTTTTAAGGCTAAAGCAGTACCAAACACTATGAGGCGTTTCATTATTTGTCCCATAAATATTGTAGAACTTAACATGATTGGGAACCTTAGCGCAGCTCAACAACTTTCGTGTTTCATTAGCCCCACTTCAACACGTCCAAGTTAAATGGTAAAGAAATATCAGTACCATCGTAATTAACCTGCAAGTACACCACTGTCTATGTAAGACTTCATAGCAATAGTCATTAATGCATTAGAAAATCAAATATCAACATGTCAAGTCAAAAACAGATTGACAATAAGTCAAAAGTATTTGGTTGTACTTCAGTTTTCAACTTTTTCCTAAACTAAGAAAATCCGGGAATTTATATCCAACATTGGGATTGCCATTACTCATCAAGAAAAGGCAAACTAATAATGACATTCTGACCCTGAGCTTGACACCAAAATGTGATCTCATTATGATATTTATGAACTTCACAAAAAGCAACCAAAAAAATAAACAATCCTATGCATGCTAAGGATTCTATGATACCAAATAAATCAAGGTCCAACTGGTTTTTATTTATCTATATTTTGAATAACTAGCGCTCATAACTCACCTTGTTGCTTGAAAGAGCCTCCATAAATATTGATACAGCTTGTATTGGGGGATAAGACTCTAGCATGATGGTGGAATTTCCATCACTATCAGACATCTCCCTCCAGATTTCCAGAAGTGGAATGTGTTCCCAACGGAAATCTAGACAGGCCATCAATTCGTATATTGATGGGCACTCAATCAGCTGGAAAGAAATTAACAAAGAAAAATGTGAGCGCTTGACACTTAAATAAATTGAAGTTGATGATTTCTAATCAATACAAAGCCATTTAACTTTAGTTACAAAATATAACACAACTTGGGCCAGGAAAATAACATAGTTTCAGGGTAACTAGATTATAAAACACCTTGATAGTTTTACGACTCATAATTTTCATGCACAAACAGGTAGACAACATGGTTTTTAAATGAGATTAGAAGTACATAAAAAAACTACACAACTCAAGAAAGCAGAGTTTATGATGAAGATGCTCATCTGAAGACATCCACTTCTGTCGAATAAGGGGGGATGGTGTGGTTAATAAATTCTAAGATCTTAGATCATTAACAGAAGAGGAAGGGGAGGGATAGACAGAGAGAGGGAGAGAGAGAAAGAAAGAAAGCCCTGTAAACAGGGGATCTCTGTGAGCAGAAATCATATTCATACCATCTGGTGCATGCTCCATTTTGATATGAAAAAATTCTGTTTCCATCCTTCCACAAATGATGTTCCATTCAAAAGTGCAGAGGTAATATATCCAGGTGCACCTATTACATAACAATACCACAATTTTTAGAAGTCATTCATCAAAAGTTTGAAAAAGAATAAATACAATGAAGCCAAACGCCACATGGATATGGGTCTTGGTTCCAGTTAAGCAAGCTTATAGAAAAAAGAATGATATAATGAGTTAAATGAAGCATGGATAGTGCACAATAGTTCTTCTGAATTACAAAAAATCCACTTTTTATGCACTGTGTTATACAAATGACATTTGAATGATATTTCCATTTCTGACCCTTTGTTTAGTTCAGATTTTTAAAAATATAATAAAGTAACGATAGCTTATGTTAGAACTGTTAACTTTACGGCAGGTGTAACAGGAAGTATGATACGAGAGTTTGTCTTTTTGAAATAAATCCTGTTTCTCTTTCCTCTTGGAACATTGCAAACTGGTAACTGTGGCATCAACTAGGGGATGGTGGGACTACAATGAATGTGAGTACAATTATAGGAATCATCTGAGGAAATATAACTTGAATAGACTGTAATAACAATATTAATCAAATATAAATAGAAGTATAGAACTGTTTTAATTTCAAGTTAGAGTTCTCGCAAAAAAATTTATCCTGATGAACAAACATGATAAAATTAGACTTTTGTCATCTTTCTGTACAGAAGGATTTCTTTACACTTCTCTTGGTACAAATGTAAACACGATAACTGAATGCACATTTGCTATATATCCTACAACTAAAAAGACGCCTTATTCAAAGATTTCCAGAGTGGATAAAAGGAGGAAATATACTTTGCACGCCAGTAATATACTGTTAAAACAGAAACAGATAATTAGCAGCATTTTATAAAATGTTTATAGCTTGCTTTTGACTGTATTGATATTGGAAAAATAAGAGCTTTTTAAAGCTGTTTGAACAAAGTCAGACATTTCCAGTTATTAGGCAAACTTGGTTAGACAAAAACAATCAACCCTAATGTTCATAAAGACCCAATTCTAGAAGCCAAAATTGCCATCATCAGAACCCCTAGCAACAGTAGATTGAGCAACAATGCAACATACCGCGGAATGGTGCAGCTATTGCAATCCAATTCTTCACGTACTTCTCAAAAATCTGCATAATAATGTTCCATTATAAAATTTGAGTTTAGAATGAAAAAGAAATGGAAGTTTATACTAGTTGGAGAACACCAGAAGTCTAGATGGAAATAGAAGGAGCAAAAAGGTAAAGGTAATAAAATCAAAATAAGCCGAAGAGTTGAAGTATCACATCACTATGCAGGCTCAGGAAACATTTAACAAGAAGACCACCCATGGAATGACTTATGATGTTAATTTTTCTTCCCCCAGATGCAGTATACACTGACTCAAGCTTCGCTGCTAGGCTCTCCATTGTTCCTTGAAACCTGGAATGCAGAAATATATGTCTAAAAAAAAAAAAGAGCCAAAAACTGGAATACCTTCAGCAGGAACACGCATATTGTACACGTGAAGGTATAACAGGAACAAAATTTTAGAATTTCTTAACCCAGATAGTATCTAAAATTGAAACAAAAGCTCACGCTTTTTTGTCAGGCATATAAAATCCTATATTTCTTACCTATCTGATAATATGAAATTGTGAAGTTGGAGTTTTTAATCATATGTTACAAACTAACTTTGATCTACAATTACTAGGGCAGATTCTACACCTCTTCTCATAAAGAAGACTTCAATAATACTACCAAAATTGTACATTTGTACCCTAGGATTTTTCATTCATAAACTCATAGATGTGCAATGTGCAAATTTGACAAATAATCTGTCCGTTACCGATTGCTTTGGCGGAAATCATATCCAAATCCAAAGAGAGTTGTTCCCTCTTTGTAGCCCCACTTGAGCATTTCAACTATCATGTCGTGGAAATAATATACACAATCACTCCCAATAACCTGCAAAAACAAAACCACCATAGAAGAACAGATATTAATACTTATATTTGATCAGTGGGCATTTCTTTATACAAACTGGAAATTTGAAATCCATCTACGTCTATTGCTCACATTATTATATATACCCACCCCCCTAAAAAAAAAAAATAAGACACACACACACAAATGAAAAAACTGTAAAAAAGAAAAGAGAACCCGAATTAAAAAAGAGACAATGTCGTGCGATCCTAATCTGCGTTGCGTTACACTTCATTTTGGTTAAACAATCAATAATAAAGGACGTGCTGTTAATGGTATAACAGGCAGATCTTGATTGTATCTTGAAAATTGAAATTATGAGGTCTATAAATCTTATCACAAGATCATATATGCAGACTGTACAAGGATCAATTCCTGTTCATATCTAGGGAAAACACAATGGAGGATGAAAAAATGCAGAAGAACTAATGTGAACAAACAACTTCGTATACACAGAGATATTGCAATACTTACCATGTCCGGATCCAATGTATCAATCGCATACAAGCCATATCTGTCTTGAGGAACTTCAATATGAGTATCAGCATCCAAAGTTACCGTTTTCCCTGTTATACACACACACAAAAAGTATGTCCCATCTTAAAAGAGTTGGATAACATTATACTAAATCCAAAACAATCCCATGACCATCAAAAGGAACCTACATAATAGCAGACTACAAGAAAGGAGATGAAATTAAAACAGTCACAAAAAATTTATAAATTTGGAATACCTACAGCAATCATGATACCTTGTACCAGAAATTTGTGAACTTTTCTTTTCACATACCACATAAAAGAACGTGCACTTGTTAGTTGTTACTTTTAAGTAGTATCATAAAGAACTTCTTTGGAAGCAAAAAACTTTCCAATCATAAAAAAGGCTAACAAATTCCCTATTTCTGAACATAAATCAAGACTTAATGGGAGAAAGCTATTGAAAACATAAATCGCACAAGAGATTCTTTACCGGAAAAAAAATTTAAAAATAGAAGACTCAGCATTATAAATATTCTTCAAATTCGAACTTTTTGACAAAATAAACTGAACTATCCAAAAACTCAATAATATTTAAATAATCATCTCCATTAGCTACTTGAATTGAGACGCGGCTTTTCACCTACAGGACTAAGATCACCTCTCTTCCCAAAATAAATTATAAACCGACAAAGAAATCAATAATACTATCCAACTAGTAGCCAAAACCAACACAACAAATAAACAGTATTGATCACATGATACACAAAAAAATCGGAAAAAATAGTAAATTCAGAAAATTGACCTGTAGTAGGGTCGAAGATAGACCAGAGCTTGGTACAAAACTCGTGGTCAGCCCTAAGGATCCGAACCCAGACCCGCTCCTCTTTACCGGTTTTCTCATCGACAGCATTAAGGATAGAACCGGCAATCCCAGGTACCAAGAGGACCGGGTCTAGCGTCGGGTCCACGTAAGCCTGCTCCTGGCTGTTCTTGCCGATCAGCTTCAGCAACTGCTCCACTATATCCTCCAACAACACCGCCATCGATGTGTGTGTTTTTGTATTTTCCCTCTCCCAATTATTCAATCAAACCGTAGCTCATAAAATTAAACGTATTTTTTTCAGTATCGTTAATCGTATTACGATTATGCAGGTTTTAATATTCGATTTTTTGGTTTATTGATAGATCACGTACAGAGTGGACTTTATCGAGAAATACTTCCGCCGTGGGGATGGTGTGGAGGTGAGTGGAGACGGAGCGAAGCCGTGAAGATAACGGAAGTTATTGGTGAAAAGGATAAGGAAATGGTTGGCACCATTCGTATACGTTTTTGCCAGCCCCATTAAATATTCACAAGAAAACGCAATGTATACTCAAGTAAACGCGGGCTTTCATTCGTGGAAACTTGAGAGGCTTGTTAAATGCGATTCAGATACCTCCTTGAGATGCAATGCCCGCTGACGCGCATCAGCCCATTGAAATGCAGTGAAAACTTATGGGCTTCAAATGGGCTTGAGAATTCCATATTCAGCCTAGTGTTTTACAAGTTTGGGTTCAGGACGTGGGCCTGGGTCTGAATTTTAATTTGAGGATCTCTTTCAATTTTTTAGAGAGAATCTGAAGAATGAATTATAATCATTTTTTAAAAAATGTCCCGACTCCCGATGATTGTTACGTGTATCGAAGCTATTTCCCTTACTGATCATCCACCAAGATCTTGTATTTCTTAATGAGTACTTTGTGGGGATTAAAATTAGATTTTTAGTAGATTGTGATAGAAATTTTTGAAATGTGTGGTTGAAAAGCTCTGGGAATTATGAAAAATGTGGTTAATATTGATTATTTGACTTTGATTTAGATTAAAACCTGATTTTAATTCGAAACAAATAGGGACACTGATGTTAATTTTATGTTCCTCATGATCGTCCCCGACCATTTGCAACAAGAACTTCATGATAACAGCAAATCATAGTCACATGATCAAATCGAATAAAAAAATTTATCTTAACAACGATCTTCACTGTCCTTTTAAATGAATTGTGGAGATTCGCTCAGCATCGAAATCCATAGTGCAGAATTGGTTGATTACAATAGCTTAAGATAATAGTATTTAAACTTTGATTTCTATAATTACAAAGCAAAACCATGTGGTCCCATTTATTAACGAAATTTTATAACAAATCAAAAGATTTGGGTCCTTCCCTACCAATGAGGCTTTGTCCGGATGTCGTTGTTTGTTAACCATTGGCGTGTGTATGAGAAATTGCATTATTGTTTTAACCTTTACAAAGAAATAAGTTGATATCCGACCTTTCATTATAATTTCACAATCAGTTTTCGAAAATGAAAATGTAAGAAAATGATTCCTTAAAGTCTGTCTCTTGATTCCTCAAACAATCAGAATTGCTGTTGAACTGGAGCCTCTTTTCTGATTGTTTTACAATTGATTTTGGTTGGAATCTTCAACTATATGGAGCCTTAGTTAGGTAGTTAATAACCATTTTTGATACCCTTTTGTGCCTATAAATACTTGTATTAGGTTTGAAGAAAGGGGGCAACTCGGGAATGAAAAGTAAGAGAAAGTGAGATTAGGAGGAGTGGTAAAACTCTTGTAAATCTAGGTAAAAATCTTTTTGATGATTTCTAGTTTGTAAATCATATTTAGTCTTGGTAAATAAAGGCTGGGAAGAGGATTTCTTCCTTTTTCAAATTCATTCTCAGTGTTTATCTTGCTGTATTGATTCTGATCTGCAAAGTTCTAAATCTGTATTGCTTTCTGCTGGTTTTATTCTCTGTTCTGTGTTCTTTCTGCTGTATTGCTTCTGTGGTACATCAATTTTTGCTGGTTTATTTGCTGATGGTTTATTTCACATCTGTACTACTGTGTTAAATCTAATTCTACATTAACATCAAACCTAAAAATAGCCTTCAAAGTCCCAACATAGCCCGGGGCCCGATGGTTTCAGTGCCAGCGTTTTTATCCATTCTTAGAATATTGTCAAAGAGGATCTTTTGGAGGTGGCTAAGGAATTTTTTAGTGGAAATCCTTTGACTAGGGCGTTGGGTCCTACTAACATTATGTTCATTTCTAAGGTGGAAGCTCCAAGTGATTTTGCACACTTCAGGCCTATTAGTCTCTGCTCAGTGGTTTTAAAAATTCTATCTAAAATTATGGTT